TGCTGAAGCTTTTTTCAGAAATTCTAGCCGCTACTGGATTCACCTAGTTGATATAAACCGTTGATGTGTTGAAACATAATGCCAACAGAGTGAGACAACATAACTTAGTCTGCTTAATGACCTAAGCAACGATGTTACTTGCCTGACTTTGTACCAAGTGGACATGGAGAGATGAACAGGCAGAAGTGACAACCAGAGTCAGTACACCAGATTCCAGTTGATGTGCATGAAACAGCATTCTGTTTTAGTTGTTTGGAAATAGAAGAGTCGAGAGAACTACCCTTTACAAAAGTGAAACAGAGATGAGCCTCTCATTAGTTCATGAGTTAGAGGGGGAATATGTTCCGAACAGTTTCGCTTGACAATGTGGGTGCACTTCAGGCTCTTGGCAAAGTATCAAGTACGGCCACTGCATGTATCTGCTTTCTAGTAGTGTAGTGTCATTCGTTATCCGGTTCAGTGTAAACTGTTAAAACAGAACAGGTGCGATTGTACTTGAATTCGGATGAATGTGAACACTGTAATACAACCTTTGCTTAGGGTCCTGCCTTTACCACGAACATTGGCAGAAGCACATCTTATTCGGCCGTTTTTATTTGCTTTTTTACTCGACCAAAAATCAATCCGCTCAAGCGTGATGGATTACGTGACTTTCTCACAGATGAGTTCTAATCGATTAGTCTCACTTCTGCGCTCCAGGCTGAACTGAACCGCCTCGAGGTTTACCTATTTTTTTGAGTGCCGAATAATTCCATCATTCAGTGATTGACCCACACGAATCTATCAATAAACTGAGGAGCTATTATGTAAACTTAACTCAGGAATGGCCGCAGAAATTATATTCCTTGGTGGATGAACGTTAACTGAAAATTCTTGGAAACACCCGAGTTTCTCTTGTACGGTTTCTAACGAGAGCGGACAGGTGATTCGAATAAATTGCGTTGGGTAATTCTATGAATGTGGCCAAAGGCAGCATAATTTTATGTTGAGGAATTACAATGGAAAGTTACGACTCCAAGATTCCCGTTCCATTTTCTTGGTTGACGGTCATGAAACCGAGGGTCGATGCCACTGGTACAAGTTGACCCATTCTAATGAGGTCAAAATCAAAGCAAAAACGGTGATTTCATCAAGCAGACTGTCGACATTGCGCCTTCTTTACAGATAGCACATGTTAATTGACCAGATCTTGCATGAGATGAAATGAATATTTGTGAAGAGCCTTGTTCATGCAGCTTCCCCAACCTTTGGTGAAACGGCGTTTCAAAGGTCACCGTTTGAACCTTCGTGAACAGTAATCTTAGAGCACAGGAGCCGGAAAAGAAGGTTAAAAATGTCAAGAGTGACAATTTCTTATCCAACAAATGTTGTCAGCATTCACGCATGACCTTTGACTGATTACAGTAAGATGGTTCAAACTGTGACCGATCGGCCTGTCGTGGCAACAAAATGCGGACAACCCATTGATAGAATTCAAAAATTCATCTCCTCACAATCAGTCCTAAAGTTTGTGAACAGCCTGAAGAACCCATTACGCAGAGATGAACAGAGCACTCACTACTTCCAAACAACTGCTGCTTGCGGACGGTCCTGGGATATTAAACGAATGAACAAATTTCATCCATCATCACCAGAGGTCCCCAAATTTTGAACTGACATGGGAGCTTCTACGACCGACCGATAAACCAGCACATGAATTTTTGGCATGTATGCCCATCCCAAAGGCAAATACAGCAAGCAAATCAACATGCATTCTGATCACTGAGAATAGACGAACCCGAAATCTTCAAGCACCTAAAGGGCTATATCGATTGTTGGATTTTTCAGATTCTACACGTTCCTCCATCTTCAGACAACCACTGTGAGTTAGCTTGGTTCAGTCCTCTTTAAAAAAAACTGTTCCAAGCTCACTTTCATTTTCAGGTTATCAAATTTAATTCCTTTATATGGGTGTGTTCGCTTTCGCTGTGTTTACTCCAGGTCAAACTTGTAGTGAACTGACCAAATTGCTTGAGCACACTCCTCGTCACCTCAGTGACTTAGACTCGTATGTTTGCCCGAAATATACTGTTTGTCCTCGGGTTCTTGATGCACGAGCACACACATTCAAACCTCGGAGTTTACATGGCAGTTTTGGGGTAGTTTATGCTCCAACGGTAATTTCAATACTGACAACATGATAGTTCAGCTCGAACACACGCCGTTCTTCCTTCAGTCTGGCAAATATACGCTGCCCTAGCTAACAGTCATTCGGGCACACCGAACTGTACTGCCGCAAAAGCAGTTGAGTTTCTCCCGCTGAATACCCCGCAGTCTAGCTTGTGCATGCCAAACCTGTTGCTAAAATACGCCTCATCGATCTGGACTTTACACCTGTTGTCTAATCAAGAAATCGGACTACTCGTAAGTAGCCAGATCCTTGTAAGGGTCTGGTATTTAGGAATATATTTGCGTTTTGTCCTTTTGATGTTTTACATTTTGGGTGTATTCTACGGTAAGATATTTTTGGTTATCTAAAAACGCGCAACTTGGTGGGTAGTTAATTTCAGGGCAGTGCTAAGCGGAAATAACCTGGGAGACAAACTAATCAGGATCTGATCTGGGGTACCTAGTGTGACTATGGTTTTTTGACTGGTTTTACGCCTATCCTAATGTAAAATGACTTTCTGAAATCACATCTTGACTGAATCCCAAACAACTGGTGCACATATATTGTTGAACAACACCAGGCATGGTGAACGTCTTTTGATCTGGTTCTTGTACTGATGAGCACTTTCGATCTCACAAAGCTAAAATAGCCTGCCTGGCCGTTGATCCCATCAATAAAGTCATTGTCAAGGCAATGGCTCTAGGGAACACGTGGTTTTCGCGGCACAGGCAAATAGGTCGTGACTAGCCCTCTGCAGGTTCATTTGTCAAGATATAAGTCACTGGGATTCCCACTCGGTTTCATAGCAAAGAAAGATTTTACTGAAAGATTAGAGGTCACACTTGGTGAAAATTTTCTTGTTATATATGCAGGACAAATGCCATATTCGTTCTTTTGAAGTCTACCGAATAGACCTAGTCTCATTAGCTCCCTCAACCATGTCTACTATATGCGTATCTTTTGTTGCAAATTAATTTTGCTTTAACATGAGACTCAACTGATTCACTGCTTAACTGCTTGGTGTTATAATCTGAAATAAGGATGAAAGCGGAAGCCATCTCCCGGGGTTTTTCTGCAACTTTTGGGTGGTGTTTTGTCGGGGAACCATATTCTGATTTCTCGGTTCTTCCGCCAACCGAAACAACAGGTAATCACAATGTGGTGCATTCCGTTACCAAGCAGCATGAAGAAGAGATACATTTGTGATTGGTGATAATTTATCCAACATTTCGAACGGAAAATCTCTGCACTGGCAAAACCCGTAAGTGGATTTTGAAATGTAAAGTCACTTCAGTTATAAGTGACTTAGGATAAACGAAAATACTAGACTTTCCTAGATGTTAGTTACAAGGCTGAGTAGCCTTTAAGAAGCGCTTCTGGATGTCAGATGGTTTTGTTCACGCCATCCGTTTTGATAAAACTATTCTCCTGAGTTCAAATCATTAATACTGCATATCCTTGTCCACGTGGGGCTTCGGACACACCATGCCGAGCGAACGTGTTACATTCACTCCACGGCAACTCGCTGGAACCACCTGAATTATCATCCTTGAACAGGCAAGCTTTGTTTGAGTTATCATCAAAGGAAGCTCTGATGTTGACCTGTCGGTCACCTCTGTTCCTAATAGCATTCTGCGTTTCAGACACATCTTTCATGATACCTACACTCTACAGTGTGATAATTGTCGATCGACCATACACCCAATACAGCAATGGGTATACACTTCAGTGACCTCTTGGACCAAAATACCTGGGTAATTGAATGAAATCAGAAATGCCCTTTACTCTTTGTGTGCCGCATTGACCAGCTGTCAAAAAGCTTTGCTTTGGCATTTGACAATATGTGTAGCAAGTCAAATCGCCATGTAGTTTTATAATTTATGGTATTCTCCTCAGTTCCTACAACTGCAAGCCAAATCTTGGGGTCGGTTGATCTGAAATTTCTCGAGGTACGGCAGATTCCACTGGTCTGGTTCAAGTATCATTGCACGACAACCAACCAGTGTCCCACAAAGTGAAACCAGGCTATCAGAACTGTCGGCCATAACAAGTGCCATTCTCGAGGGTTCTAGAATCGAAGTCGAAGTGGACCGGGATGAATAAGATATCTGGCTGGTTTCACGATTGAAATCAACTTGGCAGTCTACAACCAGATATCCCAGCCGTATCAAATGTCTGAATTGCAGTACCATAAGAAATCTCTCAGGAGCCTGGTCTCAAATGGTGGAACAGAGCACCGACTCGAAGTATGGTAAAGATCACAGTCGGCGTAGCATGACAACACAGGATCAGTGTTCAGTGGAGTGGTCAGAATTTATAACGCCAGCGTCCCGTTCGCTTCACTGTGCACCTATTTGCTTAACTCTAACTTTTTGAGTGAAATCAAGTCGTCAGAAGATAAACTCAGCAAGCTCACATTGACACACACTAATCGTGTGTGTCTTGATCTACAAACAGCGCAGGAAAACTCAGCTGTACACGTTCTTAAAGTTTTCGTTTTTTGACAGACACTCGCTCAGTCAATCGAAAATCAGATTTCATTTTTATTCTTGATTGACGGTACATACGATAGAATGTGTCTAGTTTTTGGAGATTAGCAAAATCTGATTTACCGTGAAGAAAAGAACAACAAGATCGTATTTCATGGTTTTTCGCCTTGAAAATCATGATTTCGCCGTGGAACACTCGATTATTTCAATGGTGTCATTACTGCATATTTACAAATAAGAAGACCAGTGCCTTTGGGAGTATATAGGCCATGTTCTGGATTCATTTCCTAGAAGAACACCATGAGCTTCATAATCACCATTTTAAAAAATTTTCAAAGCGCTCTTACAGTTAAATGGCATAATCAATATGGAAAGTTAAAAAGGTCTGGTAGACCGGCTGTGACTTGGTCCACGATTCCGCCTTCATTCCTCCCTCTGAGTACTCGCATATATCCCTTCTCACCCCAGTCTTCGTTCCAGGAATTGGCAATCAACCAATAGGGAACACCGTCCTCCTCTCCCCAACCCAAAATACGAATTCCATGTTCACCTAAATGGCCACCCCAAACGTGGAAATACACACCGGATTGGTAGTCCAGAAAGTCCTCATACACATGCAAAGTTGCCCCAACCGGGCCACGGAGCATAATCTCCTTCATAACTGCTTTTTCGGCTGGATAAACATTGTAAGATGTATTGGCTGAAAAAAGATGCAGAAATATGAGCACACGGTAGCTCTAAATATTGCCATTTGAGGGGTCAGCTCTGGGCCGGAAAATGACTGGTGACGCTGAAATGGTAAATCACAGGTTGAGTTGTAGGTAGCACGTAGACCGACTTCTGGCTATATCTAGATACATATGGACTGCATCGTTCCCCAAGAAAGCCCAGCTTCTACAATTCGTTCGTCAAGATGTATTGGCTGAAAAAAGATGCAGAAATATGAGCACACGGTAGCTCTAAATATTGCCATTTGAGGGGTCAGCTCTGGGCCGGAAAATGACTGGTGACGCTGAAATGGTAAATCACAGGTTGAGTTGTAGGTAGCACGTAGACCGACTTCTGGCTATATCTAGATACATATGGACTGCATCGTTCCCCAAGAAAGCCCAGCTTCTACCATTCGCCAGATCTACCATAGTAAAGACAACATACTGCTTAAGTGCCGTTGAATAACAGGTATTCTATTAAGGTACATATGTGTCTGATCAAAAACTCATCACATTCGGTGCTAATCATCGCCCAATTCAAACCGCGTTCAGAGAATAAGTTGCCCACAATGTGAAACATCCACCCTAATCATACGATATAGTGTCTGTCTACAACAAGCAGTCGCACGTTCGTATGACCCCTCTGATGAGTTCCAGCACAATGTTTCACGAAATTACGGCAGATGATAAAATCGTCAGTACTACATAAGCTCCTTTAGAACTGGCTCCGGATAAACTATGTAGTACATCGAAAACGGGGCACTGTGGTTATTTACCTGCATATTATCTTTAACTACTTTCCACCAGTAGAACGTGTAGCAGCTTTTCCTCGTTGTGAGGAGATTAAATCTATGCTAGGATGCATAAAGTTCGAGTAGCACGTTAAGTGCGCCGTGCGATGGCCTCTCCAAAATGGCATGTGTGAAAACAATGATGGTCCGCCAACTGTTCAGAAGATAAAAAGTCAAAAATTGAAGAAGGGCTGGTAATAGGTATTTTGTTGAGGAATGAATAGCAACCAAGTGTTTTATTATAATGAGCCAATCAATCGATAAGCTCTGTTCTACAGCGCTCACATTTGCAGCACAAGTATCGTAATAACTGAGAGCAAAATGAATGGTTCGGATGCTCTGTCCGACGAGCGAACTGAGCCTACCATCTGGAATGTGTCCCAGAATAAAGGGCGTTTCAACATGTGTTTTAATCAAGTCTCCTTCCCCTAAACGAAGCCAGTCTAGATGTAAAGGTGAAGTGTACGGCTGTTTCATCCTTGTGGGGAACCATTGGCATTGAGTACCCCAATAATCTCCAGAGTGATTCAAACCAAGACCTGATGACAAACAGTCAGAGCAGCTGCTATTAGCGTGCTTAAGCCGAACAAGACATAGCACCACTCATTATTCAGCCACGGGATTCACGTAACACGGTTACGTGTTCTAATCGCTGACAACACTAGTGTTTGTTTAGGTGCCTTTCACTTAATGAGCCTTTCAAATATCCCAAAATCACAAACCCAGCAATCTCAAACTCCAAATTCTTCAACTCACCCCTCGTTTTATCCTTTTCGTAATCTATTTCTTGCGTGTCACAACGTTTTATGCATTCCGGCGTAGGGTACAGCTGATGCGGACACGGAGGGTATCGCCCTTTGCCACGGTGTTCACAACTCGGGAAAGGATATGAGCGGCACCCAGCGGGTTTTTCCTTTGATCCACCTGTCACGATTCCGTGCGTCTTCCAAAAGTCCCATGCGATTGGAGAATAACCTCCATGACAACCACATCCACAGTCCGTACAACACGAAACCAAGTCCACAGCACTCAGGCTTTTGTTGAAAGCACCCTTTGAGTGGATGCACATTCGATCACTCATGGCTTCCACTGCGCCAAATGCCTAGAACAAGAAAGTTTAAATTAGTCCAATCAGTGTTACACCCCCGTGGACAACTCTAGCACACGCTGCTGAGAATTCTTATTTGCACGTTTGGACGAGTTCCCTTTAGAAGATTTTTACCCCAAATTCAATGCACGACCTTCTAGCCCCAGTTCCTTAATCTTGACGTGTTTGCACCAGAATCAAATGATAGCTCACACTTTCACTTGGTATTGTTCTGACTGCAAACAAGACCCATTTTTGAGAATTCTGTATTTACCGCTATTCCTCCAAAATGAACTTTGGAAGATCGTTTACCCTGTAGACTTTAGATGATCCCAAATATCTCAGCAGGTTTGCCAGTAAACTGCGCCTCCTCTTCCAATCCAGCGGTATGGGAGGTCAACAATTAAGTGTTCTCCTGACCTTATGCAACAACCTGGGATCTGGGCTTCCAGCTGGAAACCGGATATCTCTCCTCACGCCTCGATAAATACAACAAGAAACCTTGAAGTACTCGACAACGTGATGCCCCTGGAGGCGTGCTCCAAAACAAATGACTGACGCGCTTCCGTCAATGAGATTGTCCAAAAATTCGGTGCTGACCATAACTTTGCATCAGATACATACAGGCTCATGGATAAATTTCTGCTGTCCTGCACAGCCCTCACATGGTACAGCCTTAAGAATACGAGAGACAGCTCTCATATAGGGAACAATTCATGACCAGCATCCTTATTGTAACCAATGCAAATAATTCAAAACAATCGTCGGAATTCTAGAACTCGATTATCTTTTGGCCTTTTTCTTTTACTGCGCGATAAGGTAGAACACTGACCTGCCTTGCGTTGACCTGCTTACAGTTCTCTTTCAGCTGCTCTCAGGACACCGCGAAGTTTGATACGATCCTTCATCGACCGTTGGCGTTCTTTGCCGTCCAGACTGCTCAACGCATCAAAAAGTTTTATTTTCTATGCATTTGTAAATCAACCAGTAACGGCTGATAAAATACTTAGCACGTGTTCGCTGGTTCTAAGTAATATGTCACACTTCATCGTTGGCCGTTCCTTCACGCCTCATGTACAGTAAGGTGATTCTGACACCATCATACATGTTGTCTTCAGTGTACTTGTCACCTTGATGGGGGAAGTACCAGAGATACGGTCGCTTGAAGTCTGTGCTAAGTCAGTAGATCAGAGTCCCAGTGTAATCTTCAGTAAGCTTTTGTCCCCGCCAAATCGAATCACTCGCTGAAAAAGCAGTGCACATCGGCGTGAGTGGTATGCATAAGATGACACAGACGTTTATGCACTCCAGTTTGTGATATTTTGATCATGGTAGGCAACAGTCATCTCTCGTCCGAATGAGTCTATGGAAACCTACTGTTCTTGTTGTTATTCATGTGAAGACTCATCTCCAAGGCCATTTCCCCAGGATTTCTGGCCAACCAATGACGGATAAAAATGACAGCTCGGACCATATTAACACAATAAGCAATAGGCTGATAAGTAGAAAACCAAATAGGGAGCAACACTTTCAACTACATCGAAAAATCATGTAGATAAGACACAAAACCACAGTGTATCTCTTCATGGTAGACGCAGTACTACGTGAATTCGGTATGATAATGTGCTGTTTTCAGGTCTGGTGCAAGCGTTTAATCCCTGTATCTCTTTTTCGAACAGGACGCATTTTCGTAAGTCAGATTACGCAAGTTTCTAACCAAAATATTAGTAGCAATTTAGTATGCTGTTATTCGTTTTAGGAAATTACTTACCGATGAACCTTTTCCTGCATAGATGCAAAGCATCTGTTGATTTTGGAAACAGATGGCTTCAAATGTACGCTACACTTTTTGTGCGCAATTTTGTAACATAACCAGCTCCGTTATGAAATGAGTTCATGCTTTGGGTGTTGAGACTGGAGTAAAATCAACTAAATACGGTACGACCTGTTTCCTCTCAATAGCCATGCCTCGTTGATGGTTGCAATCAGACTTTGGGGTATCTGTTACAAGTACAATCAGAAGAAACCGGCCGGTTTTTCACTGAATTTCAACTTACATCTTATGAGAAATTTCACTCACCCAACACGATCCACAGCTGGACTGATCTCTGACTTCACTTATGGATGGGCAATGTGGCCAACTAACTCGTGCATCAAAACTTTCTGGAAGGTACTGCTCATCAAAATCTTCATGCCTGACTGTTGGTCTCTGTCTTCTTTGTTCTGCAGTTTCCCTCATGGCGCCGAACAGGTGGAGCAAGTTGTCATTTTTGAATCGCTTCAGACGTCCCGCTGAAATCCATCGTGCTCCCGTCTTTGATGGGGGGGGGCGGTGTATGAAGATTCAGAGATCTGGTAAAACTTGAAGTGATGTTCCCTGATATGATGGTGTAACGTACAGATGTAGACAAACAGGACAAAAAGCAACACCCAATTCTTCCATATTCCAGCTTCACCGGGCACTCTGCATGCATATATGAATGGAATATATTTATTAAACATTATCTAGATTCCGGTTTTTCGCTGAATCACAACCATGGCCTTGTTAATTGAAAGTGAGGTTTCTGAGTGAGGAACTACATTCACGTTACTGATGTCACTATCTGACATGCAAGGTGAACGTTTTATTGCTACTCCATCAGCTGAAGCTGGACACATGTGAACCGTCGGTCTATCGACACATCCAATTACGGAGTCGTCGTTCAAAGCGTCTGGTAAAGCTAATCAAATTGCTCCAGCGTTCAGTTGTGGTAATTCTGGTGTGTCCAGGGTATTGAGACGGAGTTGTTTTAACACTGTCCCTTGACGTGTTAGCTGACCAGAGTTCAACCCAAACATAGCGAGGGATATGCACTGCTGATGGGCGCTAATAAGAACAAAACTCGAGTACAGTACTGCTCACGAGAATAATTACACTAGGGCAGGAGAATGATTGTTAGAACCAGAGGGGTGTGAACATGAATTCTACAATGTCTACAGCTAATCAGAACTCGTGTATGTCATTTCAAGCGTCCGCGAACTACCTGACTGGAAAGTCCTGCCAGGTGCTTCAGTCAATCACTAAAACCAACCAGAATTGTGGTAATACGGTAGCCTGGCGTGTTAGGTGTGTAGATTTCAAACACCTGCACGTTCAATAATGTGCACTGTTGGTGAGCTGTAATAAGAATGAGACTCGAGTTCATTGCTTCTCCGCTTTGGTATGTATTCATCTGAACAGTTGCATCAGACGGCGGGATGTTTCAAACAAGCGTGATGTGAACGCGCAATGAATGTAAGCTTTGGATCCGATTCACCCTTCCGAAATCGCATGTGTTGTCCGTAAGTCTGCATTAGGGGAATAACTGGAATTCCCCCTGGTCTTGGAGTACGGGAAGTGGAAAAATGATATTTGTTATATACTTATATAGGGCTTTCTGCAAGGACTAGAAACACAAAGGCCTACTGTTTGTGGAGGGCTTTGCGGTTCAAATGGCACTTTTTGGTGTATCCTTTCAGGAAGCAGTATCATTTCAGCTTAGAAATTTTCCGCCTGAATAGCCACGCCGTGAGATAGTGTACATTCGCATTCATCTTGTTCGATTGCTGCTTCTCCGGTTTCCACAATGAGTTGTTTTCGGATTGGCCCGTTTTTGTGGTCTTCTCGGGGAAGTAAATTTTCTGCGTGGAGAACTGTGGACGGTTATAAATCAACCCTGGTTTATCGTAGTTTATTCTTATGTGGAGTCATATTCGGATCGGTGGTGTGCCTGTTCGACTTACCGACATTCTGAAGCTAAGCCAGCAGCATCTGCTATTCAATCTGTTCCTCGGATTTAGTCCGTTAAACTACTTGGTACGTTTATATAATTGCATATTTTGTACACAACATTGCGTTTTTAACTTCATGGTTGCTGCAGAAAGGATTCCTAAGTAGGATAACCACTATACGGGAAAGATATCGAAAAATTCGTAGCTTGGGAGCATTTAGTGGTCACGAATCGTTTGACCACAGATCTACAACCAACTAGCTGATATATGTTTTATGCATAGACGGAGCACTGTTTTCAAATTCATCATTTCTAGGAGAAAACATGAACTGATTCTGTTGTGATGGTAATCTTCTCATATTAAGAGTGAAGTATCTGTAAATCACTCCTGCGGTTAGTTTTGCTCTTTTGAATGAGCGCCTCTCTCTGTGAGGATGACGTATGGTAGAAAAAGGCTAAACATAGTCTGTCAAGCAAAATTCAGTCAGTCAATGTTGGAGAGTGAAGCTGGAGGGACACCTGACTTACAGAGGGGTGTACATATTCTTGCACTCCTAAGTCTGTCAAATGATCACAGCAAATACATCGAAAACTGAAGGCCGAAAACAACAGACCGTATGCCGGTAGCCACGACAACATCGTTAGAATCGGTGGCATAAACATTACTAGCCCCTGTATTTTATAGTGTTTACTGATGGACTTTAGTACTTGCTGACCATGATACTAAACTTTGTACGCTTCTATTCAAGTTTTTTCAACCCAATCTCAAAAAATCTATCACACTTGCTAGCGAGGACTTTGTCCCCGGAGAATTAACCCTGATCCAAAAAAGGAATCCAAAACAAAGAGCTTTGAAAAAAAGTTGAGCAAGCGCACTAAGTTCTGTGATTACCTGGCATACATAAGTGCACTTTAATGGATATTTGACTACCAAAGTTTGTCAGCTAGGTTGGACTTTGACTTCACAAAAGTCTAATTAGCCGAAGTTTGTGGAATATTAGGTTTTGATGGTAAGTTTGTCACCGTACCAAGTGCAATGGATGTAACGGAGAG